AAGACCCAGACTGTTCTCCTGCTGCTGAGTGGCCTGGTGTGTCTGATCATCACTGGCATCCCTGAAGGTGAATGACCTCATTCTGTTCTGAGAGGACACTCTCTGGGATAGGGAGCCACAGGGCCCAGCCCTTCCCTTGCTGGTGCAGGTCCTGTCCTCCCAGCCAGACTGGATTACATTCCTCAGGGCCTGAGCTGTCCCTGGTGCCACAACCATGTGGGATTTGGTTAATCCCCTAGGGACCATTCCAACCAGCAAACTTGCACTTGCCAGTCATTAAAGCAGCAGGTAGAGCTGAGCCCAGTAGGCCACTTGTCAGCAGAGCTGTCCTCTGGGAAAATTAATACCTGAGGAAGTGAGATGATGGATGCAGAGTGTGCTGAAGGTGCCACTAGGCCAGAGCTGCTCAGTCCATGCTCAGGCTCTGCCAGAGGCGATGGTGCCTGCAGGTGACACAGTTGTCATCGTGCATCCCCAGTGGCCATCTGTGAGTGGTGCTGAGCCCTCCCTCATCCCATAGCAGTGGTCTCTCCTCCTTCCCTCAGACCAGCCCCTGGCAACCACCATCCTGGCCACCATTGGCAAGTTTGCTGCCTCAGCCTCCTTCTCCACCTCCTACGTCTACACGGCAGAGCTCTTCCCCACGGTCGTCAGGTGAGGTCTCCCCACACACCAGGGCTTCCCTCTGCCATGGCTGGTGGTGCTGATGGCTCAGGTCATCCTCATGGCCACACCCAGTCCCACAGTGGCCTGGGGTGGCTGGTCCCTGCCCAGACCCCTGCTGCCCCTCGCTCCCCAGGCAGACCGGCGTGGGGCTGTGCTCGATGTCGGCGCGGGCGGCCGGGATCCTGGCCCCGCTGGTCCGGCTCCTGGGGCAGTACCACGAGGCCATCCCCATGGCCATCTTTGGGAGTGCCCCCGTGCTGGGGGGGCTGCTCTGTGTCCTGCTGCCTGAGACCCGTGGCACGGAGCTGCCGGATGACACGGAGGACGGCCAAACCCGGGCTGAGGTGGGTACCTGGTGCTGCCTCTCGGGCAGGAACACGGGGTGCCAGCACATTGCACGGGCTGGGGGGTTCTCAGAGGGGCTACAGGGGTGGGAGGGCAGGCAGTGGGACTTTCCCACTGTGGAGGGAGGGGAGGAGACCCCATAACCCTGCCCATGGTTGTCATCCCTTCATTCCTGCCCATGGGATAGAATGGCTGGTGCTCCACTTGTCTCTCTCTGCCCTCCTCAGGGAAGGGGCGGTGCCTCGTAGCCATGTCCTCTGGATTTCACCCTCTCATAACTCCCACCCCCATTTCCCATGGGATCAGGTGGAATTGCACTCCAATGCAATTTGTTGCCCTGTTGGGAGAAGGGTGTCCACAGGCACCCAGAGATCAAGGCGGGATTAGGATTCAGGTTGCTGAAGGCTGCTTGTCTCAGGGACGGCTGCCATCAGCTCACAGTGCACTTTTCTTAGCTTTTACACCATTTTACACCCTTTTTCCTTTCATTAGGTCTGCGAAAATGGCACCAGCAATTCTGAGAATGGACAGGTGAAAGGAAAGGATGGTGTCCAAGTCAATGAGTGCACGAAGACCACTTACTTCTAGCTGGGTCTGCAGGGGTCTGTAGCTGAAGGCAGCCCGGTGCTGTGTGGGCACTGAGGACAGGCAGAGTCTGCACCACAGGACAGCACCACCACTCAGGCCATCACTGCCAGTTCTTGGCTTTCCTTGTCCTTTTTGCCTTCCTGTATCTCCCTCTATAGCTTGTCCTCAGGCACTGCATCTTGTCACTGGTGTTTGGCAGTGCTCCTGCTGGAGAAAATTGGGTGCTTTTCATTTAAGGGAAAAAAAGAAAGAAATCAAAAACTGGAATGGGGACTTTTTTCTCTTAATTTTTCCTGTTTTGTCTCCAGGAAGGTGAGACTGTAAACTCTGTCCAGTGAGACACCTGAATTGAATAGAGTTGCAAGAGAGAACTGTGCTCAATAACAGAAGAGCAGATGCAGCACTGAGAACATTCTCACTCTTGCAAAAAGGAGTGATTTATCTTGACTGTCTAGCAAGGTTATCCCTCTCTCTCATAAAAACACTCCTTTTTATTTTTTAAAATCCGAGATATTCAGCTGAGAAAAAAAATGGTGTGATGGAAGAAACAGCAAGCAGACAAGGACATCTAACAGGCAGATGAATTCTCACCTTAGTGATGGTGGCTTTGAATTGATGCCTGTCATGGTGCTTTGGCCATGGGAAATGGTGTTGTTGGGCTGCAGTGTAGGACCAAATTAATTTGTCCATTTCAGGAAACTGAGATGTTGTGGCAGTTGGGCTCTTAGAAGAAAGTGCAAATCTTTCTGGGAAATATCAGGTTCTTCTACTCTGTTTTAGTCTATTCCTTCTTGGTGGATCCGTTTCTGTCTTTAAATGATTTAAGACCACTTTTGCCTTATATTGTGAAGAAAAAACAGGTGTTTTTCCTGTGCTTCCCTTTCTCTTATCTTCTGTCTCTCAAGATAACTTTCTTTTCCCATTGGTTTGGTACAGATCAAGTGTGGAAGTTGCACACGGTGGTGCTCCATCTTTGCCTGTACAGCTCAAAGGCTATTTTCGGGTAGTCTCAAGAAGCTTTTAAACCAGAATATTTTTTCTCTCTGTTGTCATGCCCGTGTGTTTTCCATAGACTAAAGTACCTCATGGATAAACAGTTTGATGAATACAAAGTTTTGTATAAAATTGGTGCCATGTGACAATGTCCTGCCAGGAGGGACTGGCTGTGGTGCTCTCTTCTCTCTGGGACTGCTTTTCAGAGGATGTGCTGTGGTGCTCCTCTGCAGTGCCCTGAGAATAGAGGAGCTCAGTCCTTTGCCCAAGGGCACTCCTTCCTTGGAAAAGGCTGTGGGCTGCCTCCTTCAGGCTTTTATGGAAAACAAGGCATTGAATGTAAAGGCTGGGGGAAGAGCTTGGAGCCAAATGTACAGTTACTGAGGGAACCACGACTTCTTTTGGGAATTGTGCTCTGAGATTCTCGGTTTTAGCTCATTTCATAAATAAGGGCATCCAAGTAGAGCAGATGTACTTCTGCTTCCATATCATTCATGCCTCCAGTAGGCTGAAGATCCATTTCATAGAATCCCAGAGTGATTTGGGTTGGTGGGGACCTTAAAGACCATCCAGTTGTCAAAGCCCCAACCAACTAAGCCATGGCTGGAGGGCTGTGGGATGTTGCTGAAGGTCCCAGTGCTGAGCACATGCCAGAGACTCCATGAAGGGTTTGCTAAGACATATCAATTAATGTCCAAGCCTTCTTAAGGCCCTCCTGTATCAGACATGGGAGTGAGGCCCTGCTCCTGCTCTTACACCCTCACTTAGGCCTCTCTGTATTTCAGGTCACAACCTCTTGACCTCCATTTCCCCTTTGGAGAAGACCCAAATTCATGCATCAGAGCCTCCCCACTGCTGAGGAAGCTGGTCAGGCAGACCCAGAGGTATCTCAGGCATGGAGGGGCAGCAGAGCCTGGCCTGGCCCTGTTCCCTGATGGGAGCTGTGGGGCGGAGCAGCTCCTGTTGCCGGGGGAGCCCCACAAGGACCGTAGAGATAATTGGGACACCCTTGGTGTCAGTGACACCAACCAACTGTGAGGCAATTCTGACTCCTGGCTGTGGGGCAGAGGTGTCAGGATCCTTGATATTCCCTTTTATCTAGAGGACATTGCCCTCTCCTTTCACCTGATCCTATGTTGGAAAACCGCAGGTCTATGAGCGGAGCAAAGTTTGCAGAAAGGGACCCAGCAGGGAATGGGTGAGGAGGTGAGCATTTAAGCTGCTCTCCTGAGTCTGGGCAAGGAGTCATAGAACTGTAGGTTCATTTATGTTGGAAAAGAACTTTAAGGCCATTGAGACCAGCCATAAACCCAGCACTGACAGGTCCACCGCTAAACCACATCCCTAACTGACACATCTACATGTCTTTTAGATACCTCTAGGGTTTTTGACTCCACCATTGCCCTGGACAGCCCATTTCAGTGCTTGAAAAGCCTTTTGGAGAAGACTTTTTTCCTAATATCCAATCTAAACCTCCCTTGACTCAACTTGAGACCATTTCCTCTTGTCCTGTTACTTGGGAGAAGTGATTGACCCTTTCCTTGCTACATCCTCCTTTCAGGTAGTTGTAGAGACCAATAAGGTGCCCCCTGAGCCTCCTTTTCTCCAGGCTGAGCCCCCCAGCTCCTCATCAGACTTGTGCTCCAGACCCTTCCCAGCTCTGTTGCTCTTCAGTGCCAAAGCTCAGATCTTGGAAGTGCCCCATCTCCTGCCCTGACCAGGTTACATGTGACTCTGGGGTGATTTTGTGCACCAGAGCCAAGGCACAAATGAAAATCACCTTCAGGCACATCTGACCTATACTTGGGACACCCTGGCCTTCAAAACACCACTTACTACAGCACAAAGTGATAGAAACAAAAGGATGCATCAAATCTGTGCGACAAGACTCCTTCAACCAAGAGTAGTGATGTTGTTTGAGGAGATGACTTCATGAAAGGACTCCAAATATGTTCTCTGCTTGCAAACAAGTTAGTACAGGAGAGGAGCTCAATCTTCTCTTTCTTTTCATGGCAATAGATGACACTAAAAAGTCATGACTCAGCTGTCATCAGCCAACCAAGCTCACTATTAAAGGCTGACCATGATGAGGAAAGCTGCCCAGATGCCCACACAGTTTAATTGACATCGAATTGCAGTGTACTCCACACAATTCAGAGAGCTTCCACAGCTGCTAGTAGAGAAAATAAATACAGGTTGTTAGTCAGAAGACTGAAAAAAGAAAAAAGTCCTTATTGGACTCAGTCATTCTGCTTTAACACTCTGCTTCTGCATTGTTTGTGGCTGATGGAAACAAAACACGTTTCCATCTGCGTGCTAAATTACAGACTTAACGATTTCTGTGTAGAAAACACTCCAGAGCCAAGAGCAGTTACAAAGGCCAACTGTGAAACAAAAAAAAAAGAGTCAACACCATTTATTATTCACATATTGCATTACAAGTGTCTCTTATCAAACTCAGAGCATAATTTATATTATTCATGTAGAAACTCAACTTCAACACCACATAGAAAGAAAAGCTAAATACGTGTGTGACGGGGTTTCAGTGACATCCTGATCAAACGTGGGGGCTCGGCCGGCGAGGAGGTGCCGGCCCAGGCCGTTAGTGCAGGAGGGACACAGCCCGGCGCCCGCTTGCCCAGTACAACCACTCTGCTGGCGATTCTTTATTGCTGTAAAACACGACAGGGATGGTTCCACGGGTACCAGTTTGCGAAGGACTGGGAAAACACGTCGGGAGGACTCTCTGCGCAGCCAGGCATGGCAGAACCGGGCTTGAGGAACAGTCTGAAGCGCGTGTTTCCCAAACACAGGGTGACACAGATCTCCTCTCCCTCTGACCACGGATATTGTGTTCATCATCTGAAAGACCAGTTTCCAGGCAGCAGTGCCTCCCTGACCGGCTTCAAGAAAGACTGAATCTGACTAGACCATTAGTGTGTGCCTGTCCAATCATGGTTTGATTTCTGAGCACCTTCAGTTGTCCTTCTCCAAGTCTGCTTCATCCTCTCTGGAGTCTCTCTTAGAAAACTCTCTTAGAACCTCTGCAGTCTTCTCTTTCTGAAGAGAAGAAGGAAAGAGTCAATATGGTTTTCATCCTGGTTTCTGGTATTTTTTCCTTTACCTTAAATTTGCACCTTTGGATGTTTTTTTTTCCTTAAATTCCGAGGTCCTTGTACCCACCTCATCTGGGGTTTTGCCCTTCCCTGTGTCATCTGGCAGGCTGACGCCGCGGGTCTCAGGCAGCAGGATGCAGGACAGTGACACAAGCAGGGGGATGCTCCCGAAGACGGCCATGGGGATGGCCCGGTGATACTGGTCCAGGGGGATGATCAGCGGGGCCAGGATCCCGGCCACCCTCGCCATGGTGGAGCACAGCCCCACACCGGTCTGCCTGTGGGAGCGAGGGGCAGTGGGGGATGTGGGCAGGGATCAGCATCCCCTGGGACAGAGGGTGGCTGTGGGGACAGCTGGGCTCTTGTCCAATCCCCACCACCAGCCAAGGCAGAGGGAAGCTCAGATGTTTTGGGAGACCTCACCTGACGACCGTGGGGAAGAGCTCTGCGGTGTAGACGTAGGAGGCGGCGAAAGCGGTCGTGGCTGTGAACTTGCCAGTGATGGCCAGGACGGTGATGACCACGGGCTGGTCTGAGGGGAGGAGGAGACACCACCACTGTGACCTCAAAACTCTCTCCAGTATGTTTTCTTGGGACACTCCTTTCTAATGGACTTACCAAGCAAATCTTGGCAAGTCGAGGACAAAACCCAACCCTTTGGAAATTGTCCCTAGCATACCATTACCTGGAAAATATCCTCTGGAAAGCTGCAAAGAGAACACAGATTACTCCTGAGTTCTTGGGCATTCCCTAAATCTGCAACTGATGTGAGCTACTGAGCCACCTCAGGTGTTTGGGGGGGTGCTCAGTTGGAAATACCACATCCCTGAGCTTGAAAGCATCATGCAGCCCCTCTCTTTCCTTCCCAACCTTACTCCCAGCAGCAGGGGTGAGGGTGTGGACTGCAGCAATATGGCACAAACAGATGTGGAGGGTGGGCATTTGTTTTTTTCTGTTCATCTAAAAGAAGGGGAAAGCAGTGGATTTTAAAACACCTCTTCTGCTACACCTTTCTGCCAGGAGGTGCTGGAGGTGATGGCTGATGGACATTGCCTGCCAAGGGCCAGAAGCTTTGGAAAGATCAAGCACAGCCCTGAAGGAGAAGAAACTGAAGCTGAGGGGGAACCAGCATATTGGGAATGCAGTGCCCTGGCCTGTGGCACTCAAGGCAGCTCAGCCCCTGGGAGAGAGCTGTGGCCAGCTGGGCTGGGAGGATGGGTCTGAACAAGGATAGGGATCTGTCCAGCTCTGCTCATGGGTTGGGAAGAGGTTATTCACCTTCAGGAATGCCAGCGAGGGCGAGGCACAACAGGCCAGACAGCATCAGGAATATGGCCTGCACTTTCTTCCTCCCAAACCACTCCAGCAGGAAAATGAGGCAAACTCGACCTGGAAACTCCACGGCCCCAAAGGCCAGCTGTGTCACGTAGATGTCCAGACCAAAACCTGTCACACTAAGGCTCAGTCCATAGTAGACAAAGCTGTCTGCAAACCTGAAATTCAAGTAAAGTGGAATAGAACATGTCACCAGATGGTTTTATGTGGACTTAACATCAAAAATTAGGATGGTTATACCACACACAACTTATTTAAACTCTCAACAACCTCTGTTTTGCTTCTTGTCACCACCTGTGACAGTTCTGTGGGACATAGTTACATGAGATAAAGCAGAATGGATCCCCATATGGTCAGCAACTTCTAGACTGAACCCAAAACTTCTAGGTAGGCATAAAACTACTCTGAGGCATAGGGATCACCAAAATCTGGAATTACTCAAGCCTTTCTAACAAAACCCACAAAAAGTATAATGAATAATCATCTTCTCCCCATGGCCAGGCATGGTAAATCTGGTCCATGGGGAAACAGAATGACAGCAGATAAAAAAATACATGTATATATGACAACCAAAGTCGCATGAAGTGAATTTACAGTTCTTGTCAACTATCAACCCCTTCTTTTCTTCACCTTGAAGTATGGAAAGAGGGGAGCAGGGAGTGTCTTACCAGGCACATGACATGATTAAAGTCACCTTCCGGAGGTGCTTCTTCCGAAAGAGATCCAGAAGACTTCCAGACTTGATCTGTTTCTCAGGTTTCAGCTTCAAAACAAAGAAAGTCAAAGAGTCAAAGCAGGCAAAGGTAACCCATGGCCAGCTGCTTTCCCATCTGCAGTCAATGGAAAGCCTCAGGGGGACAGGCTGGTGACCTCCACTGCTCTGGGAGAGACAACAGCCCAGTGAGGGCTCCTGCCTCTGTGCTCTGGGTGCCCAGCAAGGGGTTGGTGACCAAGACATTCTGTGGGATAAACATTTCCCCAGTGTGAGCTTTGGGGTGGACAAGGAAGTAACTCCCCTTCTGGCATTTATGCATGGAAACCCACAGACTAAACAGAGTCCATATCCTCATGACCCACACTCCTGCAACCCTCACAGGAGAAAAGCCAGGCAAGCATTTCAGTCCCTTCCACAGCCCAAAGGGGACCCCAGAAAGCTCCAGGCTGAGCCTCAGCAGAAGCTGTGCCTCTTCCCTGACTTTGTCTGTGTCCATTGCAGTTGGAGCTGGAGTCACCCCCGGTGCATCCCCAACTCATCCCCAGGGGCATGGAAAGATGCTGCTGGGCTGAGCTCAGCTGCAGGGGCCGTGCAAGCCCAAGAGCAGAGGGAAGTCTCTGCAGACAAGCTGCGGTTCCCTGTGCCCAGACAGGTACCTGCTCCAGGAGTCCTTCCGGGAGGCTGCGCTTGTTGGTGGCCGCCGCCTTCTGAAGGAGCTTCTTGGCTTCCTCTATCCTGCCTTTTGTCACCAGCCACCGAGCTGACTCTGGGAGCACCCTGCCGAGGAGGGCAGCTCAGCACATGCTGCTCTGACCCGCAGAGTTCCCCCACAGCCCTTTTCTCTGTCACCGTGTCCCGCAAGCAGTGGGCATCCCATGGGAGGGATGGGTCTAAATGCCCTACATTTAGGCTCCAAAGGCCACATTTGATGACCTGAAGCAAAGCAGCTGCTGGTCTCAGCAGTCCAGTGCTGCAGGGAGATGTGCTGAGCTCTGCAGAAGCTCCTCCAGCATCTGCACTGATGGGAAAGACCCATCCTGGTGCTGAGCTGCTGCTGCCTCCTCACTTCCACCCCTCACACCGCTGTTGTGTCTTACAGAAGCTCTGCCCAGCTCCTGCTTACCAGATGTAGAAGAAAAGGAGAAACATAGGAGCAGATCCTGCAATCTCCAGCAGCCTCCAGTTGCGGATTCCATAGCTCAATCCAGCCACCATCATCATTCCGATGGGATAAGCAGCCTGAGCAATAAGCACTGACTGTGGCCGGAAGGAGACTCCAACCCACTCTGTACCTGGAAAGAAGAACAAAAGTTCGGGGTCACCCTTTCCAAAACATGTCCAGCTCTTTTTTCTTATTGTATCTTGTGAGGCCACAACTGCTGCTTCAGGGCAAGGGCATCCTACTCACCCAGGGCCACGACAGTAATCATAATTCCTGACGCTGCAAACCCCACGACAAACCTGATGGCTATGTAGACATAGAAATGGGGCACAAAGGCAGTTCCTAGACCAAACATGCCCTGGAGGAGCATGCAGATCAGAATGACTGGCCGGCGGCCGATCCTGTGGGAGAAGAGAGAAGACACAGTTGGTATCTGGAGAAACTCTGTGGGGTTAGGGAAGATCCCAGGTGGAATACCAAGTGATTTGAAAACCAGAGATTTTACATCCCTGTGAACAAAGTTCCTCTATACAGCCCAAGAAATAACATGCACAAAAAGCAGCATCTCTACTTTTGAGCTGTCGCTCAAAGGCTGAGACACCAGCTGGGGCTGGACTTGTGAGTCCTGAAAGACCTCCCCACAAGGCTGTATCTGCCTCTCTCTCTTTTCAACCATCAGACATTTACAGACGTGCCAGGTGGCCCCAGATGCCCTTGCTCAGGCAAGGGGATTGAATCTGTGGAGGGAGTAGTTCATGACTAGTGCAAGCACAGTCTGCACCCTCAGCTGGGCTGTCCCTGAGTGCTGGGCAATGACTCTGGGAAGGTGACCGTGTTTCCTCACCTGTCACTTAGCACCCCAAAGAACATGGCTCCCACGAGAAGCCCAGCCATGTAGATGGACTGGGAGATGTCGTTCAGGATCGTCCTTTCACACACCAGGTCAAACTGGAGGAGGGAAACAGAGATGCTGTTTGTTTTTGACAGACCCCAGCTGCTTTCTGAGGGTGGGCATCCTGTCTGGTCCATGGTGGATCCACGAGCTGCCCCAGCTCTCGCTCTGGCCTCTGGGAGCAGAGAACCCCCTCACAGGGACATGAGCTCTCTGTGGTGTGCACATAGGGCACAAATCAGAGGTGGGACAGACACATGGGGTGCTCAGCGTGCCTCTTCATCCTGGTGCACATCTCCTGAGTGCTGGGATCTGCCCAGGCATTCCTGAGGGAGCCTCCTGCTTGGCAAGCTTTGCTTAAAGGGTGACCTTGGGATAAGAGTTGTAGCAGCTACACTTCTCTGGCTGCAAAGGCAGGATGGGGTGGAAGGAGGAGGAGAGAAGGAGAGCTGTGTTTTCTCTGGTAAAGGAGGACCAGCATAGGAATGGGAGGGGATGCAGCAGCTGCTGAGAATCCTACAGAGAAGCTGGCTGTGAAATGGATGTGGTGCTCCAGGGACACCAAGGAGCACTTGCAAATGCCAGAGGCTGGACTCTCTCCTCTGGTTGCAGCTCAGAGGAAGGTATTTGAGAGAAAGTGCTGGAGCTGGGAGGGAAAAAAGGAGGGAGAGAGGGAGGAAAGGAGGGAGGAATGAGGCAAGGTGAGAAAGAAACAGAATTCCAGAGAGGGAGAATCACAGAATCATCTAGATTGGAAAAGACCTCCAAGATCATTGAGTCCACCCTTTGATCACCCCCTTGTCAGCTAGAAGGTGGGGGATAAAGCAGAACGGAGAAGTTGGGAATGCTGACAGACAAAACCTTTGCTCAATTGCATAGCCCATGGAATGTCTTGTTGCAGCCCTGAAAGATTCCGGAGGCCCCAAAAATATCAATGACAAGTCCTTGGAAGGTAAATGTCTTTCACAGAGAAGGTGATGTGAGTAGAGCCAGGCTGAAGAATAGGGGAAACTGTGGCAGGGACACTCAAAAGGTCCCTCCTGGCAAGACCATATGTTCAAGGGTCTGGATACTGGAAAAGGAAGAGATGGTGGGCAGACCATGCCATGGACTCACACCCCCATTGTCACTGCCTGTGCCCTCTCTGGGCATCTACATCATGGTCTTCCTGCAAAAACCTCCCAAGGATTTCAGCTGTGATCTGTGTGATGGAGGTGAAATCCTCCAGTGCCTGGTAAATCTCAGCCTGGCTGCACCACAGCTGGCATTGGCTGCCCAAACCACAGGACAGGACACACCCATCCCTTCCCTTCATGTCCCCATCTCGTTAAAAGGGGATTACAGACCTCGGTCAGCAGGGATGGTGGCTCTGCTGGGTACACCCAGCCATTGCTGCACTTCTGCGTGGCGTTCAGGCCGTATGCCACGATGGAGTCCAGGTCCCAGTCCACCGGGGAGTACATGGAGCACTGCTCGTACTCCCCGTCCGCATCCCGGGGCAGGGTGAGGTTCAGCTGCTCTTCCTGCGTCAGGTTGGGGCCGACGGCGCGGATCCAGCTGGTGTCACAGTGGTGGGGCACATCCAGAACCATGAACACTTGGCCAACCATTTGGAAAGGATTAAGAAGGAGCGGGAGGGTGAGCAACAGTATCAGCAGTTTCTGGTATAGCCCAAACTCCCCCAGAGCACTTATGACATCTCCGAAATCAGCCATGGTGATTACCTCTCTGGCCAGGCTGTGCTAGTGCATCTGGCTTAAATAGGCAAATATTAATGTTTAAGCTGTGTCAGCACTAAACCCCTAATCCAGTGTGATAAAACAAGCACCTGTACCAGCACGTTCATCATTATGATGATATGGTGCTGTCCTCCAGGGCGTACTTTGTCACCAGCCATTTCCTCCTGTTCTTTGCTCAGGAGCAGAACAAAGAGTATTGCCACTCTTGGAGACAGCACAGCAACAGCTTGTCTTTTTCCAGCCTGGAATTTCTCACAAGGCCTTCTGAAAGCAACTGTGCTGCAGTGCAAGGTTTTTGTCTGAGACATGAAGTTGTGACCCTACAAATGAGGGGTAGTTTTCCTGAGCGGGGTGAAACAAAAGGAGTGAATTTGCTGCTCCCATTCATGGTTATATAACCCATCCTGGAGACTATAGGAAAGGGAAGCAGAAAACCACTTCTCCTCTGGACCAGGAAATATGGCTGGTAGTCAAGTAGACTTGGCCTTGACAGCTGTGTCCCAAGCTGTCTGTTTTAATTTGCCCCATGTAGAAATCCGGGTTAGTCATAAAACTAGACCTAAACTGCAGTGTCTTGGGGAGAATCCTAAAATAGGTTTGGCTCAGAGAGTACCCTTAGGGAAAACAGCACGTTACACACACAGACACACAGAGCACACAGGATCTGGGAAACCACACCAGCTTGGTTTTGCCTGAGGTTCTGATGTCACTTGAAAAGCAGATTGACCTGATTTCTGCTGCGCATCTGAGTCGCTTCCTAGGCAAACTCCCTGAGTGGTTTGTATCTTTATTCCTGCAAACTGGATAGCTGGATTGCACTCAGTGTATGAAATTTGGTGTTTACTTTGGAAAGCTCTCCTGGCTGCTTTCACCAGAGCACTAAGGACAGCTCACTGACCTGCTCACTTCAAGTCTCCTCTCAAATTCTTTGTCCTTCCCTCTCAATGCAGACAGCATGTATGAGCCTCCAGCAAAGTTACTGAGGGGTCACACAAGCCTAGATTGATGTTTCATGCCTGGGAATGGCATTGTTGTGCTTATGGAAGTGGGAAGAGGGGTAGAATATTGGATTTTTAAGCATGACCAGGAGGAGTGTGAGATCATACTGGTTAGTGCTATTAGTGAAGGAAGGGAAGAGTAAATGCTACTTATAGAGTTGTGTAAATCCACAGCAGTGGTGTTTGTGTATCATCTGCACACACCACACTGGGCTCTGGATCCACACCCTTGAGTGAGGGGGCTTGTTATTTTTCAGAGACACCCTTTGAACTGGAGTTTGAGCTACACAACCTCCAGAAATTCCTTTTGCCCTCTGACCTTTTTGTGGGATGACTTAGCCAGGGAGATCTGCTCTGGCAGATGCATTTTGACCCTGTCCTCCTCAACAGGGAGCAGGTGCCTTCTCCATCAGTGTGCAACAAGCTGAAGTTTTCAAGTTTACCCTGTTATGTGTGGCTCATGGTGTCCCCTCCCATTCCTCAGCCACCAGCATCTCCTGTGTCAAAGAGGTCAGATCTTGCCTATAAAAACTCCTTGAGGGTGATCCAGACCTGAATGCAGCCTCATGTGCTAATGAAGATGTGACTCCTTAAGGCTGTTCTTCCCAACATCACCAGTCAGGCACTTCTGAACCCCTGGGAGAGCTTCAGCCCCTTGTAAACTCTGTCACCCTCAGGTGACATTTCTCATAGAAAAGACATTGGCCTCATCATGTGGGGCCAAGTGGGTCAATCCCTACATGGTGGAGATCTCTCAGGGGCCAAGGCTGGAGCAGCCCTGTAAAGCTCTGCTTCCTGGAGCAGATAAGGATAAGGATTCTGTGCTTATTTCTCTGTGTTCAGCAGTTTTGCCCATGTGCATTACTAAGAAGACTTGCAAAGCCTCTTGAAAATGAAGAAGCCTCTACCAGAGGAACCATGAGAAACCAGCAAGTCTCAGGGAAAACCTGGGGTGGGAAGTTGGAAAACCTGTATGTCCATGTCAAGGACTAGGGAAAGGGAGGGGGACCATCCAAGGAAGTAGTTCAGAAAGAGAAAAGAAACCACTGCCTGGGGAGGAAGCCTGGTGCAGGCAGTAGAGCACTGACATATTAATTCATGGACTTGTCTTTTCCCTTACACAGCTCTGAACATCAGGAGTGACTGCAGTTGGAGACCCATTTGGACACCTATGAATTCTAGCCAGAATGGTTTCATACCCACCACCTGTGGTGCTCCTGCATTTTCCCTCTTCCTCTTAGAGCTGACACAGAGAGATTAGGTTTATAGGTGTCATCTGGCAGTGACAACTTGGTCTGGGCATCACTCTGAGCATCTCTGGCACAGGTACCAGGGCCACCCACTTCCCACTGCCCCAGTGGAAGGTGCTTGATCTCTGCAAACCTCTCCATCTCTAAGCACAGCTTGACCAGGTTTCAGGCAGGGCTGTGAGATGGCAGTGCCTCTATCCCAAACCTCTTGCCCCATCCTAAGATGAGACCAACTTCAGCATCTAACGATTCATCTAATTTTCAAGGACATCCCTCTTTTCCCTGATCTGTGTTGACTGAGCAGTGTCCCTGCTCAGAGCACTGACACTGCTTTGCAGCAGATGCACTCATTAAGCAGCTTTATTCCTCCAGCAGACCTGATAGAGACGGGGTTATTCTGGCACTGGTGAGGCAGGAAAGGTTTTTTTTTCTTTAATTATCTTTATTTTAAAAATTAATTGTTTTAACACCTATTTTTTTTTTTTATACAGAGAGCTGATTAAAACACGTGCAGTCCCTATGATCTTATGACCTAAGGCGCGTGCAGTCCCTATGCCTATGATCTAAGGCACATGTCCTCTCTTTGACCCTCTGAGGTTTCTCATGAGCTTATTTATGATTAGTATAATTGTTAACTCCTCTAATATTTATGATTAGTATAATTGCTGACTCCTCTAATATTTATGTTATGTAATATTTGTGCAAAGGGCAGTCAGAGGGGATCAGAGTGCAATCACACAGGAAGAGCAGGTGTAGCAATGTCCCCGCACCACGAGGCTTCAAGACACCTGGATTCCTTGTCCTCCTCTGCCCCTCTGATCTTGGCAAGGCCATTTCACTTATCTTTGCACGTCACTGTACAATGAGGCTGATGGTGGTGACCTCTTGTGTGGAGTAACTTTGCAGTTTACAAAAGGAAAAATGCAGTGGGGGGTGTAAGATATCATCATAAGTAAGTGTAGGCAAGTCACACGGTGAAAAGGTGTATGATGTTTTGGGTTGGATGTCTCAGTGTAGTTGTCTACGTGTGAAACAGACCCCTAAGGCCACACTGTGGTGAGTGGAGATGGATTGACACAGTTCACAGAGTCCAGAGGGCTGATCCCTTTAAGTGCAGTTTTCTGGTTTAGGGTGGGCTGAATCACTCCCCAGACTCTTACTTGCTAATGCTCCATTGACTCTGATGTGGGCTTAAGCATTTGCTTTACCTTGAAATGTTAATACTGCAGACACCTAAACCTAAACTTTCACCTTGCCCTGCTCAGCTTTGCCTTTGCCCATTGCATTTTACTTGTACATTTGTGGCCAAGGATTCAGTTCCTTCCTGAGACATTTTCTCTTCTCGTTCAAGTTTCTAGTTCTTATTGGCTTGTTGTTCATGGTTGTGAGCTGGTTGAACCTTTTTGGTTCTCTGTCTTCCCTCCTCCATGCAGAAATCCTTTGAAGCACCTTGGCAGCAGCAGATCCCCTCTGCAGAAGCCCTCTGGCTGCAGAGAACAGGGGGTGCTGGTTGGTCTCTACTTGGAGGTTCCTCACACTGAACTTAGTTCTTGCAATGTTCTTTTTTGGGAACTGACCACTGACTCAATCTGGACAGGATAGAGAACTTAAATTTAGCTCCTTAAGGGATTAATAAATCAGTCTGTGCACAACTGAATTTGTCTTGTGCCAGAGGAGTGGGGCATTTCTAAACTGATTTCATTAATTTCTTTTGGTCCTTGTGCTGCAGGGCTGGGTGCTTTTCACCCTTTTTTTTTTTCAACTATATAAAGAACTCCTTCTCTGAAAAGTCATCATTTAACTCATCCAAGTCCTCAGAAGAGAGACTTGCATAATCTTCTTCAACTCCTGATGTTTTTCTGCTCCTGTTCATTTTTTCAGGAGCCTCCTGGCCTGGATCAAAGACATCCTGATTAAAGGTTTCAGAAACATGGCTGCTGAACATGCATGTCAAGGGAAAATTGTCTTCCTGTGTAGAGAGATGCTTGTTTCTTGAGTCTTCAGCACTGAGACCCAATCCAAACATTTCTTCTGCTGCCTTCGGAGCCTGGCACTGTGGATCCAGCTGCTGCAGCATTGCACAGCTCTGAATCCCTTCCAGGTCTCTAATATTAATCTCATCCTGACCATCAAGAAGTGAGAGACTGGAGGTGTCCCACAGCTCCAGTGGGGCATTTGTTTCTGCTGGGATTTCCTGGAATAATTCTGAAGTATTTGGATCAAAGAAAGGTGGATTTTCTGCCTCTGAGTTTTGCAAGTCTGAATTTAGGGTTTTACTTGCTATGCTGGGAAAATCTTGTCCTCCAGAAAAGAACAAGTTATTGTCCTCCAGAAAACCCATGTTACCAAACTGCAGCTCAGCTTTCTTGGATAACTTTTCTGAATTGCCTGGTGAAAGAAGTATCCCATCTTCTGTCACTGTGTCCTGGACATCCAAGCTCAACAGGTTCTGGGCTTCTAGTGGATGAGCACCATGATGATTTCCTACCCTGGTGAGATTTTTGCTGTTGTCAACAGCAGGAGCAAGCTCTGGAGGAGGATGTGGAGGGTTTGTTCTACCTTCTGAGGTTTCTGCAGCTTGTTTCTGATCTTCCTGTGTTGTTATGAGAGGGGGCCAACAGCTGCCCCATTGCTGCCAAACCTGGCTATTTAAAGACAGTTGGTCATGAATGTCAAGTTCAGTTTTCTCATGTTTATCATCATGTGACATGCTTGTGCCAGGAGCTAACAATAGGATGTCTGTCTCCTTGCCCTCAGCAGAGTCTGAGAAACCTCCAGAGCTCTCCTGGATATGTTTAGGGAAGACCTCCATCTTTCCTGGCTGTGGCAGCTGATCATTCCTAGAGGCCTTTTCTTTTGCTTGGCTGGAGGAGCTGAGGAGGCTCTGGGGATTTTCTGTCCCGTCATCAATATTTGTTTTTTCTGAGGATCCTGCAGGTTTTTCTGGTGGGCTCTGCTTCTTCTCTGAGGAGTAACCAAACAGAGTGACAAGGGCTGACTGGGGCTTCGTGGGTTTCCTTTGAGTTGTTGTTTCTTTCTTGGGTGCACTGCCTTTGTCTTCAGAGCCAAAAAGTGTAATGAAGGGATTTTTCCCGAACCTGAAACCTTTACCTGGTGTTTCTCTGCAGGCTTGACTGCTTCTGGTCTCCTTGCTCTGGGCACCAGTCTGTGACACAGGCAGAGTTCTTTCCTCTAGGAGTTTCAGATCCACTTTTTCCTCACCCACTGGGTGGCCTCCGGATTTTTCCAAGGATATATTTGGTTTGGAATATTCTGATGTCTTGGCTGGTTGCTCAGAAATGTGCAAGATGTTTTCACTAAGAACTTCCCTGGAATCCTCTGACTTGGAGTTGATGACCCCATCATGTGAGGGGCAAGTGGCACAAGTTCCTTTCAGAGGTGTGTCTGTTGATCCTGGAAAATCCTTGCCAGGTGATTTAATGTCATGGCTCAAAATATCCTCATGAGTGTTAGTTTTCATTGGGCCACTTGTGTCCCGACGTTCTCTTTCTTGTAGACAGGACACACCATGATCATCTGTCTTCTTTGGCAAACCAGATGAAGAATCTCTGCTCTTTTCTGCTTTGTTTTCCTGAGATGTTTGCTCAGCACCAAGCTCTTCCAGATGCTCTGACATACTTACTGCTTTCTCTTCTTTTGTCTTCTCAAACTCTGCCCCTTTGCTCTCAATTCCAGGCAAATCACTTGTGCTGGATGGCTGCCTACTTTCCCCCAAAGTTACTGGTGTCTGTTTCACAGGGAACTCCTTGGTGTTTGCCTTTGATTTCTCATTCAACATTCCAGTGATCTCAGGTAATACACTCAGCTCTCCCAGCTCCGGGGAACCAGAAGATACATAAGAAGTCCTTGATATACCAGAGGGGGAATGGGCTTCTTCAGCTTCACTTTCAGGGGTGTCAGTACCCTCAGCTTCACATTTTAGTTCCATAATTGTAGAGTCTCTGATTTCAGGCACAGGGGTGGGCTGTGTGCTGTTCATTCCCTCTCCAAGATGATGCTTGTCTCCTGCAGGATCCGGGGTGGTTGTGGTCAGTTTAGGCTTGTTATTTGTCATGGCAGGTGTTGTGTCTCCTTCACTGGGTGTGCTCAGAGACCCACAGACCCTGTTTTCCTTTGCTGGGACCTCTGCAGCAGGGAGGGTGCAGGCCCCTGTGCCCCCCAGGCCCACCCACTTGGTGGGTTTAGTGCTTTGAGGTGTGGTGTGGGGGACAAGGGAGCCACGAGGCAGGGGCTTCACAGGCTCCAGGACTGGAGGGAAGGAGGCAGAGACAGGTCCTCTCTTTGGCTGGGCTTGGCCCTGCTGGATTGCAGCCACTCTCTGGGACACCTTTCCCCCTCTCTTCCCTTCAGGCACATCGCCATCCCCAATCTTTTCATTGCCTCTCTGTCCTCCATTCCTGGGCCAAGAACACACTTGCTCTCTTTCCTTGGTACAGGTGATGCCAGGTAAGAGTCTTCCCTTCTCCACTGCTGCCTCTGCTGCTGGTTTGCCCTCCTGCCCCCTGAACACCATCCTGCCTGCCCTGCTGCCCACAGCCTGGTAGGTTTGCAGGCTCAGTGCAGGCTTCTTCCAGGAACACGCTCCATTTCTGCCTTTTCCATCCACAGCCAACAAGACTGTTTCTGAAGGTGGCCAGACTGTTCTGAGCTTGTTCCCTAAGAGGACAGACCTGCTGTTCAGCTCTTGCCTGCGCTCAGCCAGCTGCAGATCACGCTGTGCATTGAAGGATGAGGGTTTCTCTCCTGTTTCACTGTTTTTGGCCCTGTTACACCAGTCCTGGGGCTGTGGTCCTCCTGGTCGGTGCTCCAGCCTTTCTGTCTCACTTCTGCTTCCTGCTCCAGCCATCTGCTTGTAGTGGACTTGGCAGTAAAACACCCCATGGAGGGCAGCATAGTTTTGCAAGCTGGAAAACACACATTGGCATGGCTGTTAGTGGCTGTGTGGGAGGGAAGCTGCAGCACTGATGGACGGGTTTTCAGCAAAATTACTTTTCAGTGGGGAAGGGAGGGGGGGTTGAAGAATGAAACCTTTCAGAAGTGGTGCTGGCTTTCTGAGCATGTGTTTGATTTTTCTTTCAAAAACCAAAACATGTGAAAAATTAAACATTTCCTTGCGATACCTCTGGGAGCTGTAGCCCAGGTTATGTTCAATCCCTTTCTCATTTACAGGCCAGGCTTCATACCAGCACTTCATCTCTCCCCCTGTATGCACAGCGTGGACCTTATGGATAAAACTGCACAAGGGCTCCCATGGTACAACAACAGCATGATGGGAGAAAGTGTCTGTAGAGCTCAGGGGTCAACAGGATGTCAAGCAGCCTCAGAGGAAAGGATTGTCTCAGTGACTGGAAAGCCAAAAACAAGCCAGCAGTGTGCCCTCGCGACAGAGAAGTCAACTATATCCTGGGCTGACCTAGGAAGAGCCTGCCAACTGGTCAAAAGAAATGACCATTCCTCTACTTTTGGCACTTTTAGGACCCCATGTGGGGCACTTGGTCCATTTTTGGGTTTCTCAGCGCAAGAAAGCCATTGATACACTGCAAGGAATCCAGCAAAGGGCCAGCGAGGTGGTCAGGGACCTGGAACTGTTAATGGCTTATACATTGTTAAGATCACTTTTGTCCACAGTAGCAAACTGCAAAGAAACAGCTGCTCATCCAGCAGCCCACCCCTCCTGAATATGCCTCCTAATTTGGACTGTGAAAGGGCTTTGAGATGAGATGAGATGAGATGAGATAAGATGAGATAAGATAAGGGGGTGCTATTGTCCAACTATCCCAGGTGCAGAAGGGCATGCCTACCTGCAGCTATGAACTGGATTTCCAGATAAGGGAAAAGGCTGATTTAGAGGCAAATCCTTTGAGGTGGGATAATGCCAATGTCCTCCCTTACATGATGACTGCAGCTGTGGAAACTGTGACACTCACACCTAGCCTGAATTATTCATCTCAGACGATGGACCATAATGAGCCATGATTGATGCTGACATATTAGGCAGCTGTAACATCTTAGAAGGTGTCAAAGGCTCATGACATGTCCTGTGATCCAGTATTTAATCATCCATTGTAAAACTCACTGCCCCACAGGAGTTACAAGGCGTTCTCACCTGAGCCTGAGTGTGTAAGACTTGTGATATCTTTGAGTTTTGTGGGCTTCCCCCACACCTGATGGATCAAGACCACCATTTCAACCAACAGGCATCAAAGCTGCAACTACCAAATCTCATCACTGGATCCAGTGGGTGGTGACTGTATATCTTTCCAGCTTCATCCTTTCTTTTTCTTTCCTCATATATTTTCTTAAGTGTTATTTTTATGCTTTTATATTGCTGTATTACTATAGATAACAACAACCAAAATGGCTGCACAGTTGTTTTCCTTTGAAACCAAACTGTTCTAAAACAAACCCCACCTATATATATATTTACAAACACCAATCATTCAGTGTCGTTTTGCTCTCATCTGCCCCAAGGGATCTATTAACAAGAACCAAGGTTACCCTCACCTTCTGAGGCAGGTTGTGACAGGAACGTGTGTCATCCGAGGAGAGGCTGAGAGCTGGCTTAGCCAGGACTTACCACAAAGGGTTAAGAGGGAGAAACTACTTTCTGTGTGTGTTTATTTGATGGGAAGTTATACAGAAGACAGAGCTGGAGTGCTTTTGGAGGTGGACACTGACAAGATAAGAGGCAATGGGAACAAGTTGGAACATGGGAAATGGCGATGAGATACAAGAAAAAACATTTTCACTGGTGGTCAATTCTTCAAAGAGGGGCCCCAGCTGAAAGACTGTGTAACCTCCGCCCTTGGAGCCATGCACACCTCTCCTGGACATGTTCCTGTGCTACCTGGCTTCCTTGGACCTGCAGAAGGTTGGGTGGAGACTTCTAGAGGTACTTTCCAACCTACCTGACACAATGTGGTGCTTAGGGACATGGTTAAGTGGTGGACCTGGCAGTGTTAAGTTAATGACTGGACTCAATGGTCTTATAGGTCTCTTCCAACCTTAATATTTCTATGACTCTAAGAATATGAGGCACCCAAATGACTCCTCCAGTTAAATTCCATATCAGTATTCCCAAACTGTAAATATTTATTGAAGTTTCAGCTCACCCTTGCCCCACCAACTGTGCAGATTCCTGATCCACAGGTGTCTACAATCTTTAGATAAGCAGTCTTCAGACTGGTGATGGAGAGGCAGAATGTATCAGGGAAACTGCCTGCCCTTTCTCATTTCCTGAATCGTGTTCTACTGGAATTACCCTTGGACAATTGTGATGGAAACTGCTTGGACACTCCTTAAAAATAAATGCACCTGGGTCCTACCACTCACCTCAGCTTCCTCCCACAGACCTGGCAGCAGAAACACGAGCGGTGCACACAGACCCCATCAGTGACAACCCGCTCCATGGAGTAGATGGGCTTCAGGCAGAAGGCACACATTTCTTTCAACATGGGCTGAAGAAGGAGAAACTGAAGTTAAATAACTGAATCGTGACCACCTGAAGATGTGATCTGCAGGCCAATTTACTGAATCTTCTGCTGGGTTGTATTTTCTTGCTGTTCCTTCACAGATCTGCTGTGAGAGTTCAGCTTTGTGCCTGACTCAATTTATTTGTCATCTTGGATAAGTCAGTGTTAATTTTCAGTCAGGACAGAAAGACAGAACACTGCTGGGCCCCTGATAAGAAAAATTATTCAATTGTTTGAGAGCAAATGATTCATTCAGTTGAATAATTTAAAAACCTTGAGTGAAGTAAGAAATGTTCTTCAGAGCCCCTGACTCAAAAACTCTGGCTGTTCAGCTCCTGAAATCTCTGATATCATATGGCTGCTCACACTGACACATAGTCCAAACATTAAAAAGACAACAGATATCAGCATTAAAGCTCCCACAGGTCCACAAACCTGGTGCTTTACTCCAGCATGTTCACTCTCTGGACTGTGTTTTATGCCATGACCTGATTCCTCAAACACTTCTTTATGTGAAAAGCCCAGGGAATCTCTCTGGAAAGCACTGCCGGTGCCATCTATATTAGTGGAGAGAGAAAGGGAATAAAGGATCTCGGACATCAGCCCAGCTCCAGAAATAGCTCCAGGTACTCTGCATGGCCGAGTGACCCGGAGGATGCAGGAGGCAATGTCGGTGTCTCTGTGCACTCCTTCTCACTGTGGTGCAAAGCAGAGGCTCGGGTTACCTGGTGAGTTAATCTGCAAGCCAGGTCTGTCCAAAGCCCCAGAAGGAGTACAAGTGAGCCCAACATGACTCTGACAGGTCAGTGCTCTGAGTGCTGACACTCCCTCTCAACAGGGCTCTGATGTGAGGCACAACTCTGCCTCTTTTAGGGGGGTAATTTGCCACAGTTCTGCTGGTGCCCTCTGATCCCTCTGGCTTTTTTCTCCACATGTTCGCACCCTCGTTTGCTGTGTTGTCAGATCAGAGAAAAGGAAAGTTTACTTTCTGCTCTCATGTGGAGTGGGCCCATGGCCAAATTTTGGCTTTGACCAGATGAAACAGTTTGTCCAGTGAAGCTCTAGAAGCTCCATCCCTGGAAATGTTCAAGGACAAGTTGGGTGGGACCCTGAGCAAAGTGGTCTAGCGGAAGGTATCCCTGTCCATGGCAGGAGGGCTGGGCTAGATGATCTTTAAAGCTCCTTCTAACCCAAACTATTCTATTATTTTGTGACCCTATGAAACAGGAAAAGTGTTTCTGTATCTCAAGAGATGAGCTGACAAAGGAGCAAGAACCCTGTCTTTTTTTTTCTAACAGACACCTGTTAATTGTGTCTGATCAATTGTTTTTTAATTACCTTCATTTTGGTTGAACGTGCAAGTAAGGTCACGTCACCTTGACAACACTTTCATGAAGCAAAAACAACACTTTCAAGAAGAAGAGTTTAACATCTTCAGTTTTCTTCCTTCTCTCCAGAGGAAAGCATACAAACCAATCCCCTGTCTTCCCTTCAGTCTGAAATGATCTCAGCATACCTCTGCTATTCCAATCCTCTCCAGAGAGGATACCATAGGTCTGTAAGTGAATACATGTGTAATAGGTATCCAAACTCCCAGCATACTCAGTGGAGGGCCAGTTAAGGGAATCTAGAGGGTGAGACATCTACCCTAAGACAGGCCCATATAGTTGTACAAAATCAATCAGTTTGGAAGATGAATTTCACCAGTATTACTGCAAAACTATGCTGATGCCAGTGGGAGGGCAGTGCTGGTGAAGGTGAAGCAGAAATATGCCCTTGTGCAAAATGTAATACAGAGACTTCAAGAGGAAAACGGTGGCAGAAACCAGATGGAAAGTTAATAGATGTGTCCAAGAGAAATGGAAACTCTGCACCTTTGGCATGGGTGTCATTCCACTGGAGGAAATGAGCAGGTTCTTTGGCAGAGAACAGTGAGTGGTGATGGGCAGCTGCATGAACACAGCATCATTTGTGATGCAGCAAAATGCCAGTGATGGCGATAATAATTCTCAGCCGAGGGATCAGCTTTGCTGTATATGACAGCAGAGATCACAGTTACATGTAGGCACCCTGGCAGGCACTTCCTCTGACAGTGACAAGCTCTCACAGAGCACAAGGGTCTGTGCCCTGGCAGAGAAGAGAGTAACTATCGACATGTCTGTGTCGTATAAGAAAGAAATGCTTTCCTTTAACCATGGCAGAGGAAGGAAGCAGAGCCATTTAGCAAACAAGTAAGGTCTCTCCCCTCTCAGCTGGGAATGAATGTATGTACTCCTGGAGTGTGTTTCCAAAGCGGGGTAATCTTTCGTAGGGGATACAGGTCTCTTTCACCGGGGGGTTCCTTTTTAATGCTCACTGTCTGATGCATGGAAAATACTCTTGCTCTTCACAGGTATATTTGTCAGCACCAGGAATAAGCCTTCCTAATGGTTTGGAAGATAGAGAGGTGACCAGCAGCAATTGAATGGCACTGTGGGCAAGGAGATTATTCTAAGGCTTCTGTGAAAAGCAGAGTGTTCCTGGAAGGCTCTTCCAGCACACTGCTGGTTACTGCAGTGCTGAAAGTTGCAACTGGCTCATGGCTTATCAGTTGTTGGCTTTTTTTTTTTCCTTTGGGTGAATTAAAACCTTTATATAGTAGGAGGAGTCAGCCTGGAAATGCTTATGTTATTGATAGGTGGAGAGGCTGGTGAAAGGTCTGGAGCACAAGCCTTATGAGGAACGATTGAGAGAGATGGGCTTGTTTAGCCTGGGGAAAAGGAGGCTCGGGGGGACCTTCTTGCTCTCTACAGCTCCCTGACAGGAGGTTGTACCAGGTGGGGATCAGTCTCTTCTTCCAGGTAACAAGTGATAGGACCAGAGGAAATGACCTCTGGTCACACCAGGGGAGATTTAGATTAGATATTAGGGAAAATTTCTTCATGGAAAGGGTTGTCAAGCACTGGAACAGGCTGCCCAGGGAAGTGGTGGACAGGCTCACCATCCCTGGAGGGATTTAAAAGATGTGTAGATGTGGCATTTAAGGACGTGGTTTAGTGGTGGACTTGGCAGTGTTGAGTTATGGTTGGACTCGATGATCTTAGAGGTCTTTTCCAAACTTAATGATTCTGTGATTCTATGGTGAGCACAAATCTTTCAGACCTAAGACTGAATATCCCCAGGGAAACCAGTGACTGATAGAGCTGGGAAGGGCAGTACTTGCTGTGGGCACTTCAAATGTGGTGTAATTCGTGTCCACTGCTGCAAGAGAACCAGGTCTGTAGCTGAACTTGTCCTTTGACCACTCAAAAAGGCACAGTTTAGACAAGGACAACTGTCCTCTGTCCACTGGTCCAGGTAATTCTCCCATCCCCTTTGCTCTTGAAAATATCTACCCAGCACTGTGTGAGAATGCAGCAACTCACAAAGAAATGCAAAGAACAGTGAACAATGTCACGTCTTGTACCCAAAAATCACGGAAAAACTGTTACAACTCCTTTGGGATTTGAAAGTTTGTATGTGCTCCACTGGTTTATTATTGCAAGGTCTGAAGCACGGAGAATATGAGCTGATCCTTCAGCTTGTATTTGAGTTTCAAATCTTTGCATTTGTTTTTTCTCTCCAGCTCTTTCAGTGTTTCAAGGAGCCATGTATGGTGCTGAAATAATGCAGCATCTGTGTCCTCCTCGTATTTCAGTTCCTGGCTAGTGGAAATACCATGAAAGAAACATATCTTAAATGATCTTAGCCTCATAAATGGCTCTTTGAGACATTCAGGAATCCTGCAAAATGAGAAACAAACAATAAGATCGGTATTTTTAAGCACTGGCAGTGCAGGATATTTGGGTTTATTTGAGTTCCTGTGGAATCATTCTCATTGCCCAAGCAACCTGTTTTCAGCTCACTAAAACAGCTCCACAGTTGTCCTTCAACAGAAATGAAACAAAGATGTGTGATGGGCATCCTGAAGCAAGTTGAGGTGGAAATGAACAAGGATGAGAAAGGAGTGTTGGAAAAATTCTGAAGAGAAGCTCCAGAATACCAACACTCCCTTACTTTTGCCATTGGTCCTACTAAAGGGATTGGGAAGGTCAAAGCAGTTATTTTTTTTCTGGTTGTCTGAAACCAGATATGCTCAGTTTATGATGATCTGCTCTTCTAGCTCAGCCTTCAGTGTTTACTCCGGTGGAACTGAAAATCATGTTCTTACTCTTCTTTCGGTACATCTTACTTTCAAGTTTATGGGGTTCTAGATGTAAATCAATGAGTTCTGGGTGTGTACCTGTTTTTGAGGAAGGAAGCAGAACTCCTGCGTGGTCTACAACACCTTTAACAAGGTGTTGCATGATGCATCATGCATGATGCATGATATCTGCTATATAAAAACCTATCTATGGACTCATGGACTCAGGGATATGGAGTGGTGGACTCTGAACTTCCTCCCCAGTGCCCTGCTCTTGATTCTTTAGTGTGGGTTCTTTTGCTCAGAGGAAAAAGGCAAACATTAACCATAACAACTAACTGATGGGGTTTTTTTTTGAAAGAAGTTACTGTCCCAATCTCAGAAATATAAATTGATGCACTCTGAAATGAGGTGACTTGCCATAGATCAACTAAAATTTCTACAGTCAGATCCAGGGGTTGTCAGTCTGAGTCTGAGCCAGGCTGTAGGACACAGCTCCCTGAGAAACCCAGCAGTCCCTCTGTAGGCTCCCCACATTCCCCCACAGCTGGAACAAACTCCTTGCTCACTTGCCTTACCCCCAAACTCAGTGTGATGTGAGCTGAGGCGCAGCAATGGGTAAAACCTGGTTCATCAGCTGCCCCCCTCTTAAGGCTTATGGAGCCTTCTCCAACCTCTGCTGCCTTCTCACTTGGGGAAAATGGGTACAGACAAGTGTCCAGACCTTTCCTGGTGTATAGATCCTACCCAGTCTCCACCCACCTACACAGAGTCCTGGACTGGGGTGTCCATATTGCCCCGGACTCAATTATTTTTTTAAACA